AAAGAAAGAACTATGGAGTTTGAATGCAGATCGAAGCCTACTATTTGTTATTTATTTTCTTCTGTTTTGTTTTGTTTTCACTCTCTTGTGGTTCCTCCTATTGGTTCTAATTCTTCCTTCCTTAAAACATCACTAATGTGAAAATATGTGTAATAGGAATGTATGTGTACAGCCTATATCAGATTGCACGCTGTCTTGGGGAGGGAGGTGGAGAAAAATTTAAAACTCAAAAGTTTATGGAAGTGACTGTTGATAAATCAAAATAAATTAATAAAAAAAATTGTTTTTGACCACCAGCAACACACTGCTATTCCAGAACCCACCTGAAATGGGTGTTTTGGAGCAGGGAGTCCTATGTGCATCCTGGGATTATTCACAAGAGTTCTGAGAGGCAGATACTAAATGGGGGAGGAAGACACAGGGTTCAAGTGTTTGGCATCCATCCTCTATTTTGGGGACATATGAGAAGACATTTAGAAAGACCATGCTAACTAGCTGGTTCTTGCTGCAACATGGCTGCTGCTACGTATAAGGATAGTAAGGCACCTGTGACGCTGAACAGACCTTAAAGGTAAGACTGGCCCCTTGGAGACCTCCTCCTCCACCACTCACTGACAGTGGAAGTCACTTTGTTAACAGGTCCCTTTGTCGTATCCTAGTAGGAAAGTCATTTCCTGCCCTGGTAGTCAGGAGTGCTTAAGGCTGGCTGCTGTGTTTCCTAATGGACTGTTTCCCCTTTCCTCTGTACTTTCTGTCACGCTTTCATGCTGTTGTTTAGATCACGGCTAGCTTTTAAAAAATGCTTAGTGTGCTAACCTTTATTTTGCATAGTGCTATTTGGGTGATAGAAGTGGGAAAAACAGCTTGGAACAAAAGCAGCAGAAGGGGTCTGTTTCTCTTTGCTCTTCACAGTGGGAAGTGTGTTAGGGGTGGCAGTGCCACTGGCTCTGTCTAGCAACTCAGGAGCCAGTAGTGCTGCTGCCTTTGACAGCTTTCTGAGGCAATCCAAGGTGATAAGCAGGAGAAATAAAAGTAAAGAGAGACATAATCCGAAGCTATCATCCCAAGGGCCTGGACCATCATACAGCAGTTAGAGAGCCAGAAAGGGGAAGAGGAAATGAGGTCAAAGCATGTTCTCTCTCCTGGGTTTCTCTTTCCTCTCCCCCCTATTCTTACTGCCTGTGGGGTTACCCAGTAACCCTGTTTCACATTACCTTACTATAGTAACATTGTTGCTGGTACCAGCAGCTCCAAGCTTCATCAATTGTGAAAAAAAAATTACTTTTCTGTTAACAATTCTGTTATGTAAATATGCAGTGCAAATATAATTGTCCCTGATTTACAGGTGAGGAAACAGGACAAGGGAAATGAAGTGACACCTAGAGTCACATGGCTAGTAGTGGTATAGACAGCATTTGAACCTTAATCACCTTAACTCCCAATTCAATTTTCTTTAAAAGGGCATTAAAACACATTTCTCAAATACTGGCAGGGTATCCCTGACCATTTTGCAAAACAACTTCTGGATGCTACAATTGAGGGCAACAGGTTTAACTTTCACTTCCACCTAAGGACAATATTAAAAGTGTTCTGGAATAGTCTTCATATCAAAGTTATAATGGAAAGAACTGGATTTGAATTCCACTTCAACCATTACTAGCTGGGTGACCATAAGTAAGTCACAAAGAGAATGCTGAATTTGAAATAAGAAGATACGGGCTCCAACCCTAATGGTGATATGTGCCACCTGTGGAGCTTTGGGTGAGTCACTTAACTCTCTGAGCCTCAGTGCCTCCACCTGTAAAATGCAGGAGTCAGACTAGAGGGATGCTAAGGTCCCTTCAAGCTCTACATCTATTATCTATGACAAATCCCAACAAGCTTCAATTTCCTCATTTGTAAAATAAGAATATAATAGTATCTGTAGTATCGCCTTCACAGGACTGCTGGGAGGATCAAATGAGACCATGTATGAAAAATCCTTTGTAAACTTCAAAGTGCTATGTAAATGCCAGGCATTCTTCATTACGACTATTATTGCTATTGTGATTATTATTATTTTACATGCAAATCATTATTGCTAATAATTCTGTAGTGCATTTATACCCACCATACAGCTTTCCATTTCCCTTCAGGACACTTGCCATTTTGATTCTTCGGAGTTTGATTTACAGCCATCTAGAATCCTTGGGAGAATATTAGCATGGAAAACATTGGGTTTCAATATGTGAATTTGTTTTGCCTGGTGAAGCTTATTTATTACAAAGGAGAACTTTTATTTCTGGGGGACAGTTATGGAAAGGCTTAAAAAATAGATTAGGACTAATTTGTAAAGGGTTTTAAAAGCCAAACAAGAGAGTTTCTTTATCCTAGAGCACATGTTCTTGATTGAGGGCCCATGAACTTAAAAAAAAAAATTAGGTAGGTATTGATAGCGATGTTTTAAAAAAAAAAAAAAGGAAGAAAAGAGCACGAATGAAATACTTTAAAAATACACAGGAGAGAGCAGAAGGAAGTTGAGAAGAATATGTAGATAAACAGAACAATTTGGAAACTTTATTGTAAACTTATAAACTATAAAAAACAGAAGTTCAAAAGTTCACAAGCAAGCCTATCTTTCTACTTTTTACATTATTGATGTGGTCACATTTATTGATGTTTGTTAAGCTTATTTTAAAAAAGAAAAGATAGGCTTTGGGGAACAGCTAACTGCCTCTAAGCCAAGGGTTCTTGACTTTGTTGTTGTTTTAGACCCATTTGGCAGTCAAGTGAAGCACCTGGACCCCTTCTCTAAAAATAGAATAATATTTTTAAATGCATAAAATAAAACACAGAGGATTAGAGGAAACCAAATGTATACGAATATAAGTATCAAAATATTAAAAAAAAAAAGTCCATGGGCCCTCAGTCTAGGATAAAATAAAATCTCTTGTTTGGCTTTTAAAACCCTTTACAAACTTGTCCTAACCTATTTTTTAAGCTTCATTACACATTACTCCCCTTCTTACACTCTATAGTCCAGCCAAAAGGGCCTTCTCTCTGCTCCTCATTCACAGTGCCCTATCCCTGGAACAAACTACCTCCTCACCTCCACCTCAGAGAATTCCTCACTTCCTTTAAGTCCCTAAAAGCGGTGAGGGGTGGCGGTGGGGTGGGAAGTGAGTTCCTAGGGATTAGGGACAGCCTATGGAGAGTCACAGGAGCTGGAAACGGAATGCCAATTTTGTTGCTGTTGTCATTGTTCAGTGTTTCCGTTGCATCTGACTCTTCAGGACCCCATTTAGAGTTTTCTTGGCAAAGATACTGGAGTGGTTGGCCATTTCCTTCTCCAGCTCATTTTACAGATGAGGAAACTGAGGTAAACGGGATTAAGTGACTTGCTCAAGTTCACACAGCCAGTAAGTGTCTGATGCCAGATGTGAACTCAGGAAGATGAGTCTTCCTAACTTTAGGCCTGGCACTCTATCTACTGTGCCACCCAGCTGCCCCATGCCAAGTTTAGGGATTAACAAAAAAGTCAGTTTGTCTGGAACACAGAGTATTTGAAAGGGGGGTAACGTGAAATAAGTCTGGAAAGGTAGGACAGAGTCATATTGTGATGCCAAGATAAAAATTTTGTATTTTATCCAGGAGTCAATAGGAAATCACCAACAATTCTTGAGCAGAGAAATCATTAATGACTGGGAAAAATAAAAAAATTTAGAATTTTAGAATCTTATAGTTGGAAGGAAATGTGAAGGTCATATACATGGTTCAATTTCAACCCTACCTCTTACTAGCCATGTGACCTCAAGTATGACCTCTCTGGGCCCCACCTTCCTAATTCATAAAATGATAGGGTTGGACTAGGGGTGTTGCAGGATGGTGGACGTGGGGCCACTGTTGGGTGGCTCCACAGGTTCTGATAATGCCAATCCTGGATCTCACTGGAAGATGACTCATACCAAAGGCATCTGCCTGGAAGACAGCGAGTGTTTCCAAGTAATGAATACCAGGAAATATTGCAGGAAAACTGGAGCTAGGGTCAGTCACAGAGAGATCGACTATGCAGAAATCAGGCAAAAACCTATCATTCGATATGGTAAATTTGCATGATGACCTCTGTAGTTTGCTGTTGCTGTTCTTACAGTATTTGCCCCCTGCCTACCTCTGTCTCTGCTAATCCCTTGTTAACTGGGCACCTTTACTCTTCCCTCACTGCTTCCACTTCCTTTCCTTGTACTTTCTTCTTAACCCTCCGTGATCTGGCTTCGCATCTCATCACTGAAATTTTCCTTCAAAAGTTACCAACAATCTCTTATTTAAAAATTGAAGAGCTTCCTCACCACAGCCCTCACCTTTCTTGACCTTTTTGTAGCATTTGACACTGAGGACCACCTTCTTTTCCTGAAGGCTCTGTTCTCTCTGAGTTTTCATGACACTGTTCTCTCTTGGTTCTCCTCCTACCTGTCTGACTACTTTTCCTCAGTGTCCTTTGTTGGATCACAATTTATGCTATAGATACTAACTGTGGGTGTCCCCCAAGGCTATGCCCCTGGCCCTCTTTTATTTTCTCTCTCACTTAGTGACTTCATTAGTTTCCATCAGTTCAATAATCATATCTGTGATTCATATGGGATGACTCCCATAATTATATATCCAGCCCTAGTCCTCTCTCCTGGACTCCAGTCCTATATCATAAACTCTCTATTAGATATTGCAAACTAGGTATCCTATAGGCATCTCAGACTCAAAGTGTCTAAATAGAACTTAACATCTTTCCCTGAAAACTCACATCTTTTCCAAATTTTGCTATTATTGTCAAGGACACAATTAACCATCCTTCTGGTTGCACAGATTTAAAATTCCACTGTCATCCTTAACTTCTCACTCTCACAACTTTTTCATATGTGCTCTTCTGTTTATTCACACAGCTGCTAATCTGTCATCAGTTCTTACCTGGACTATTACAATGGGCACAATGTTCTGCTGGTTCTGCTCACTTCACTCAGCATCAGTCCATACAAGTCTTTCCAGGTTTTTCTGAAGTCTGCTTGCTCAACATATCTTAAAGCAAAATAGTATTCCATTACATTCATATACCACAACTTGTTCAGCCATTCTCCAATTGATGGGCATCCCCTCCATTTCCAATTCTTTGCCACCACAAAAAGAGCTGCTATAAATATTTTTGTACATGTGGGTCCTTTTCCCATTTTTATGATTTCTTTAGGATACAGCCCTAGAAGTGCTATTGCTGGGTCAAAGGGTATGCACATTTTTATGGCCCTTTGGGCCATAGTTCTAAATTGCTCTCTAAAATGGTTGGATCATTTCACAACTCCATCAACAATGCTTTAGTGTTCCAATTTTCCCGCATCTTCTCCAACATTTATCATTTTCCTGTTTTGTCATGTTAGCCAATCTGATAGATGTGATGTGGTACCTCAGAGTTGTTTTGATTTGCATTTCTCTAATCAATAGTGATTTAGAGCATTTTTTCATATGACTATAGATAGGCTTAATTTCTTCATCTGAAAACTGCCTGTTCATATCCTTTGACCATTTATCAAATTGGGAATGACTTGTATTCTTATAAATTTGACTCAGTTCTCTATATATTTTAGAAATGAGGCCCTTATCAGAGACACTGGTTATAAAAATTCTTTCCCAGTTTTCTGCTTCCCTCCTAATCTTGGTTGCATTGGCTTTGTTTGTACAAAAAACTTTGTAATATAATTAAAATTATCTGTTTTGCATTTCATAATGTTCTCTGTCTCTTGTTTGATCATAAATTCTTTTGTTCTCCATAAATCTGACAGGCAAATTATTCCTTGCTCTCCCAGTCTGCTTATAGTATCAGCCTTTATATCTAAATCATGTACCCATTTTGATTTTATTTTGGTATATGGTGTAAGATTTTGGTCTATGCCTAGTTTCTGCCATACTATTAACACAGGAACTTTAATAGGATCTGTTTCCAATTTGGGCTGGTTCATCCTTCCTTAGACAGCCTGGTACCCCTCTTCCCCTCCATGCTTCCCCAGAGACTCATCATATTAGGGTAGAATTTAGTATAGACATCTGATTGGCTTAGTCTCCTTCAACTTAGAAGTTCAGAGCTCAAGAAATCCACCAGCCTCAGCCTCCCTGGTAGCAGGGGAGAGTGGTTCTTCTCTCATTCTAAAGGAGTTTAGGACTTCTTACTAGAGAATCAAATCTCAAACATTCAACCTAACACTCTAGTCCCTCTATCACCAGTCATATCCAACTCTCTAAACACAAATTTGATTGAATCCCTAGGGAAGATCTCTGCAACATGGAAGCAAATCTCTTTCCTGCTCCCCAGACATCTTCCTCTTCATCTCTCAGTCTTTATGGAGGACCATACACAACTAAAATGCCCTTCCATTAATTCCATGCACATACATATACATATACATACACATATACATACACACACACATATATACATATACATATACACATACATATACATCCAAATCCCAATAGATAAAAGGGCAAAGGATATGAACAGTTTTAAAAAGAATAAATGCAATCATTAAACACATGGAAAGATTCTCAAAATCACTAAAAGTAAGAGAAATGGAAATTAAAATAATTTTGAAGTTTCATCTTATATGCACCAAATTGGAAAAGATGTAAATAGTCAATACTAGGGGGAATCAATAGAAATTAGGCATACAAATACACAGTAGCTAGAATTGTGAATTGGCCCAGCTGTTTAGGAAAAAAAAAGTAAGTAGGCAAGAAAAGTTACAAAATTGTTCATACCTTTGGCCTGAGTCATCCAACTACTAAGTATGTACCTCCAGGAAGTCAAAAGAAGGAAACTCCTAATCTAGGTCCTCCAATTTCTCAATACCCAGATCTACACGCCTCCAATAAATCTGTTCTGAATAGTTCCACAGCCTACATGGCTTCAGTCCTTGGGTAATGGGTGCTAAGATCCCTTCTAGCTCTCCAACTATTATTGCATGATTCCATGCAGATAAATTTTAAACTGTTCCTTATTTTGGTTTTAACTGGTTTACAGTTATTTCTGATGTCCTATCAGTGAGCTCTCTAATGGTAAATTCAATCTTCTACTGTCTTGGAAGTCAGCATTGGCAATGTTACTCAGCATCCAATCTCACAAATGTTTAGAAAATGCATTTTCTTTTTTAAAAATCATTATTATTATTATTATTATCATTATTATTATTGTTTTATATGAGGCAATTGGGATTAAGTGACTTGCCCAGGGTCACACAGCTAGTAAGTGCAAAGTGTCTGGTCTGAGGTCGGATTTGAACTCAGGTCCTCCCGACTTCAGAGCTGGTGCTCTATCCACTGCACCACCTAGCTGCCACTAGAAAATGTATTTTCAAATGAGACATTAATGCACTGTTGGTGGAGTTGTGAACTGATTCAGTCATTCTATAGAACAATTTGGAACTATGCCCAAAAGGCTATAAAGTCCTACATACCCTTTGACCTACCAATACCACTACTAGTCTGTATCCCAAAAGAAATATAAAACAAAAAGGAAAGGGACCTATATATACAAAAATATTTATAGCAGCTCCTTTCTGGGGGTAAAGAACTAGAAATTGAGGGGATGCCCATCTATTGGGGAAGGGTTGAACAAATTATGGTATGTGATTATGATGGAATATTATTGTACTACAAGAAATGATGAGCAGGACACTCTCAGAAAAACCTAGAAAGACTTGCATGGGCTGACGCAAAGTGAAATACACCTTATACAAAGTAACAGCAATATTGTAAGACAGTCAGCTGTGAATGACTTAGCTATCCTCAGCAACACAGCAATCCAAGACAACGCTGAAGGACTTATGATGAAAAATGCTTTCTATCCCCAGAGAAAGAACTGATGGTGTCTGAATACAAATTGAAGCATACCTTTTTAACTTTATTTTTCTTGAGTTTTATTTTTTTGGTCTACATTTTCTTTCACAAAATAACTATTATGAATATATTTTGCATGACTACACATGTATAACCTATGTAGAATTTCCTGTCTTCTCAAGGAGGTGGAGTGGGGAGGGAGGGAGGGAATTTGGAACTCAAAGTTTTAAAAACAAATGTTAAAAATTGTTTTTACATGTAACTGAGGAAAATAAAATGCTAAATAAAAACAGAATATTAAACATAAAATAAATGTCATTGCAATTCCAAAGAACTCATGATAGAAAATGCTATTCACCTCCAGAGAAAGAACTGAGGCAGTATGGATGAAGATCAAAGCATATGATTTTCACTTTCTTTTTTTTTTGTGGTTTTATCTTTTGTTCTGTGTTCTCTTTCACAAAATGACTAACATGGAAATATGTTCTGCATTACTGCACATGTATAACCTATATCAAATTGTTTACTATCTTCAGGAGGGGGGAGGTGAGGAGGGAGAGAGAAAATTTGGAACTCAAATTTTTTTAAAAATGTTAAAAATTATCTTTATATGTAATTGGGAAAAATAAAATATTATTTAAAAAATATTTTAATGAGAAAAAAAAAAGAAAATGTATTTTCAGTGACTCACTTACCTGAATAGTCATGGCTTAGGATGTCTTTCCCCTCTGCTGCTTGTGTATCCAGGACCCTTGGTTCATCCCCTTGCTCCAGCTGGGAGATCACATCCTATTTAGATACTGGAAATACCAAGGAGATCCTAAAAGTAATACAGGAATAGAAATGTGATTCTTGAGGATGAAGGAATACTTGGAAAACAAATAAATATTTCCATATGGATCTTTGTGTGAATATTCAGTAACTGCATGGCTTTTAATCAAAAGAACTCTGAAGCACCTTATTTTTGAAATTTTAAATTAAAAGTTTAATTATTTATTATTTTTACTCATTTTCAGACAAGTCCGATTCTTTGTGAATCCAGTTGGGGTTTTCTTGGCAAAGATATTGGAGTGATCTGCCATTTCTTTCTCCAACTCGTTTTACAGATGAGGAACTGAGGTCAACAGGGTTAAATGACTTGTTCAGGGTTACACAGCTATTAAGTGTCTGAGGCCAGATTTGAACTCGGAAGATAAGTCTTCCTGACTCTAGGCCCTATGTGCTATCCACAGTACTACCCAGCTGCCCTAAACGTTTAATAGCCATCAACAAATAAAAACAAACATGAAGAACAAAAAGTTTAAGTTTACATAAAAATATAACTAAATGATCTGTAAAGACAGAATAATGTAGTAGACAGAGGTTGGGTTTTGGTGTCAGAAAGACTTGGGTTCAAGTACTACTTCTTAGTAATTAATCATTATTAATTAATCCGTATTGGTAGAGGATGTTTCCATAATTGGAGTTTCCTAACTGATGAAATTACAAGGCCAAAAAAATTGGCCAAATGACATAACAACCAATAACAAACATACACGCAAAATACATTTCCTTTCTAAGTTTAAGAGGGTTGTTCCATACTTCCACCTTAATAATTATGGGAGGGCAGCCCAGAATCACTCAATCAGAGGCAAGAACTAGGTGTGAACAAGGCCTAGACATCTTTGTTTTGTTTTGTTTTTTGTTTTTAGGCAATTGGGGTTAAGTGACTTGCCCAGGGTCACATAGCTAGTAAGTGCAAAGTGTTTGGTCTGAGGCCGGTTTTGAACTCAGGTCCTCCTGACTTCAGGGCCGGTGCTCTATCCACTGTGCCACCTAGCTGCCCCTTTTTAAATTTTTAAAAAAATTTTCTTATTTTTAGGTAATTGGGGTTAAGTGACTTGCCCAGGGTCACACAACTAGTAAGTGCCAAGTGTTTGGTCTGAGGCCGGTTTTGAACTCAGGTTCTCCTGACTGCAGGGCCAGTGCTCTATAGACTATGCCACCTAGCTGCCCTAAGGCCTAAACAGCTTTACTGAATCAAAGGCATTAACTAGGGAGAAGTTGAAAGGAAATGTGAAACCTTTTTAACTGTTAGATGAAAGCAAATGACACCAATATAGGGAGCTTCTAGACTCTACAAGAAACCCAGCAGAAAGTTACACCTCAGGAAAACTTTATGAGGACTCCAGGAAGGGAAAAAAGACTTCCATCCAACCAAAAACTGTTAAATACACTATATATATTCTTTAAGCTTGTGGAAGAATATGTCCTAGGCTTTTGGGGTAATATTGGTATAGTATAAAAGCTAACTGATGTTAATTATTTAAGTGATTTTGGGTAGCTACCAACTGATTAAATGATATTCAGAAGCACACCAGTAGGGGCTCATGAGCAATACTATTAGATTCTCCAACCCCTCAGGGTTAACCCTACAGTTCTGAGGGGAAGAGTAGCCGCAACCCTCTGAGGACTCAACTTGCTATTTTACTTCAGTTAGTGAGACTTAGGAAAGTGGCCCAGAGCCAAGTGTGTCTGAAGTTCTGCTCTGAAGTATTTTATAACTACCACGAGTTATATGCCCTTCCAGTGGAATACAGTCATTATGGGGGAAAAAATGGCATTTTTTAGTAGTCATTTAATATTAAAGAGAACAAATCTTATGATGGAGAAAGGTATTTTGGTTATGTTTTACCATCTAGCCAGGAGGGCCACATATATGTCTATGCTCAATCCCAGGGGCTGGGCTAAAATCTGGGGCTGTCCCATTGTTTCAACTGATGAGGATTACTCCCTTTCAGGAGATATCTATATGAGGCAGCTAGGTGGCACAGTGGATAGGATATATGGCCTGGAATCTGGAAAACTCCGTCTTTCTGAGTTTAAATATGGCCTTGGATACTTACTAGCTGTGTGACCCTGGACAAGTCACTTAACCCTCTTTGCCTCAGTTTCCTCATCTGTAAAAGGAGCTGGGAAAGGAAATGGCACGCCACTCCAATATCTTTGCCAAGAAAACCTCAACTGGGGTCACAAAGAGTCTGACTCAACTGAACAACAACAAGGAGATATCTATATTCCCTGGTAAACTGGACTTTCAGTTAATCACGTCATTTTATCTTTAGCCAACCTGGGAGAGCTGGGGAAGCTACTTTTGAATGAAATGGAATCTTCAGAAGGAAAGTTGTCTACTGCAAAATTTTCAGTTCTTGCTTCAGCTACAGTTATTCAAAGTAGTCACTTTTCTGGGTTTGGTTCACTAAAAAGGGTACATTGAACATTGAGCTTGGCTAAAAACTACACTTCTGCTCACATTGGTAGTATAGTTATTGTTGTTCAGTTGTGTTCAACTCTTTGTGACCTCATGTGGGGTTTTTTTGGGCAAAGATACTGGAGCAGTTTGCCTTTTCCTTCTCCAGCTCATTTTATAGATGAAGAAACTGAGGCAAACAAGGTTGAGTCATTTGCCCCGGATCACACATTTCTAAGGGTCTGAGGTTGGATTGGAACTCAGGTCTTCTTCACTCCACACCCACAGCTCTATCCACTAAGTCACCTAGCTGCTTCTTAAATAAGATTTCAGAACATACTGCTAAGCAGCTTACAAATTTGCCTCAGGCTTTTTTTCCCCATCTAAAACACGTCAAAAGCCTGAGAAAATTCATTTATGAGATGTTGATTTTGGAGATTCAATGGTGGTAACACACTTCGGAGACTTTGATCTCAAGAGCATGCACTTTAGTTAACACAATTCAGTGGAGTTATAGGTATAATGGTCAGGTCTGACAGAGTAAAGAATTTCTCTTTTTATTTCTGTGGTTTTTCCACTTTCTGGTCCAGATTTGTGATTTCCATTGTAGAAGCTCCTTTCACTGATTCAGATCAACTCTTCTGTAACATAAAATTTTAAAGAGATGCCTGGGGCACTGAAGGGGTGAGTTAATCAGCACTTAAGTTCTGCTCACAAGAAGGCATTTGAGAAACAAAGACTAAAATAAATAGTCCTTGCCCTAAAAGAGCTTATATTCTATTGGGGGAACAATATTAAGCATAAATGTATACATATATATGTAAGTAAATACAAAGTGATTTTTTGGGGAGACATTAGCAGGGGGGGAGGGTCAGGAAAGTTTTCTTGTAGAAAGTGGGATCTGAACATCTTTGAAGGAAACCAGGGATTCTAAGAGGCAAAGATGAGGAAGGAGTACATTCCCCATATGGGGAACAGCCTGTGAAAATATTGTGTTAAGAATAGTCAGAAAGCCAGTTTGTCTGGATCACAGTGAATGAAAGGGAGTAATGTATAATAAGCTCAGAAAGACAGGTTGGAGTCAGTCTATGAAAGGCTTTAAAATGCCAAACAGAAGAGTTTATATTTGATCCTGGAGGTAATAGGGTGAAATCTGAGTTTTAGGAATACACTTAGCCCTGGTGATAGAGTAGGTGCGGGAAGCAAATTTTGAAACCAGCTGTACCTGATTCCAAGGCCAGTCAACTTTATATCCACTCTGCCATGTTTATTTTCTCTGATCTTTAGGAGTATTGACTGTCATTACAGGATTCCTTGGGCTGGCAACATTTAGCACCTGATGTTCTTTAGAAAATGTCAGTTGCTTTCACGATTCTTTTGTGACAACATGCCATTCTGACTGGGTTGAGTTTACAAAGCAGAATGGTTCAGATTGTAGAGGCTTATTTTTTCTCCTTCGGTTCCCTTTTTTACGTTAGAATTTCAATTTCCTGTTCTTTGATAGCGTACTTAAAATGAAAAGTTTCTTTTTTTTAATACTTTAAAGACCACTTACAATCTGTCATTTTCTTGCTTAATAATCCATTAAGGCTCTTTCTTATCCATGGTGAGTCCAAATTCCTGTCTGGTTTTCAAAGCTTTCTATAATCTCATCACTCTGCTGTCAGAAAACTAGCATGCTGCAGGCCTGGGAAGAGAAGAAACCCAGGTGCTGAGGTTTGGATCATTTGGGTAACATGAATACATTACCACAGTTCTACCCTTTAGAACAGCACTGAGGAAGGTGTGCCATTGCTTGTAATTTAAAGGGCATTTGGGGCAAATTACTGGTGTACACTGAGGTATATGCTTGAGACTTATCTTGGTGAGAAGCAAGAGGAGTCTTGACATCAGTGAAAAGAGTAGAATGTTGAAACGTGAGTCAAAAGACCAGTGGCAGGAGGAAGAACGTGGGAATAGATCTTCAGAGTGGGAAAAGAGCAGGAAAGACTGAGCAGCCTAGCAGTGCTGCTTCTGCCCTCTTTGTATTGCGTCTCCTTCTGAAATCTGATCAGAGTATGTTCCAGTGTTCACAGGTGTTTGTCTCAGTTTGGGCTTGTGGTTTGGCTGCTAAACTCTTCCTAGGTATACCTGTACAGGAACAAATGGTGGTAATAGCTGTGAATTCAGATCCAGTCTGGCATTGATTTTCTGAATCAGGCTAGCTGCGCTTCCTAGTTCTCATTCCAGAAGAAAGGCATCTAGGTAAGGGGTAGCAAGACAACTTCACACTCAGTATTTATCTTGCTCTTTCCCTGTTCCTCAATACACACCCTCAGTCCACTCTACTCAGGCTCCTCTTACTATTTCTACAAATGCCATACTCATTTCTGTGTGCCTTTGGCTGTCTTTGCTTCCTAGAATGCTCTTCTTCCTCCTATCTTTCCAGATAGCTTAGATGCTATTTAACAATTATAATACTAGGGGCAGTTAAGTGGCACAGTAGATAGAACACCGGCCCTGAAGTTAGGAGGACCTGAGTTCAAATCTGGCCTCAGACCAAACACTTGACACTTATGAGCTGTGTGACCCTGGGCAAGTCACTTAACCCCAATTACCTAAAAACAAACAAACAATTATAATAATAGCTAGGATTTACATGGCATTTATTTTATGCTAAGTACTTTACAAATATTATCTCATCTGATCCTCATAACAGACCTGGGAGGTAGGTGTTATATTTATCCCTATTTGATAGTTGAGGAAGCTGAAGAGAAGTTAAGTGACTTGCCCAAGGTCACACAGCTAAGACGTTTCTGAGACTGGATTTGAATTCAGGTCTTCCTGACTCCGGCCTAGGGCTCTGTCCACTGTGCTACCTAGCTGTCTATTTCACCCATTAAACATTCCTGACTACTTCAGCTTACATTTCTGTCTCCCTCTAAACATCACTTAGATTTAAATTAGCACCACAGTTTTTCTCTCCATGTTATTTTTGTCTTCAAGTCACTTTCCCAGCTAATTGCATGAAGGCAGTGACCACATTATACACTCTATCATTTCTTTCACAAGAGCACAGGACTAAGCTACAGTAAGTGCTCAACTAATTTTTGTTCAGTCTCTGTTGTGTCCGCCTCTTTGGGACCCCATTTGGGGTTTTCTTGGCAGAGACACTGGAATGGTCTGCCTTTTCCTTCTCTAGCTGATTTTATAGAAGAGGAAACTGAGACAAACTGGGTCAAGTGACTTGCCCAGGGTCACACAGCTAAGTCCACGTCCGGGCCAGATGTGCACTCAGGTCTTCCTAACTCCAGGCCGGGTGCTCTATTCACTGTGCCACTTCGCTGCCCCACAATAAGTACTCGCTGATTAATTAATCGACTTCTTTTTAACTAGGCTCATACTTTCCTTCAATTTAAGAATGTGATTTCGTTGTCGAGGGTATTTCCTACTCTAACACAGATCCTAATCCTTCCTCATCTTTGCAGATAGTTTTCATGGGTTGCTATGGTTGTGAAAATTAATTACCTGGTAACCAGCTCTGTAATGATGAACCTCTCTAAACTGAGTTATTCTGATCCTAGGATGAAAAACACATAGCTCATCTCAGGAATGTCAGCTAGTTTCATATTTGTGATCTAAAATATGAAGGAGCCTCTAAGAGTTAAAAACGACTTTAGAAGAATGGCTGAACAAATTGTGGCACGTTAATTTAATGGGACATTACTATACCTAAAGAATGATGAGCATGAGAAAATCAGAGAAATATGGACAGACTTGTTTAAACTGATATGGAATAAAGGAAACAAAACTGGAAAACAACATACATAATGATTACAATAATGTAAATTAAAATAGCACTAAAAGGCATCAGAAATCAGGCTAACTGCAGTGATCAGTCTTGATTCCAGAGGACTGATTCCATATCCTCCTTTAGTACAGAGGCAGGGAATTATGAGGCAAATAGGGAATATTCTGCCAAATGCTCAACTGTTTTTGTTATAAGGGAAAGTTCTGTTTTGGCATTTTAGAAAGTAACTGTGGCATAACAACTAAAAGGCATAAATAAAATATTTAAAAATTCAATTTAACAGAAAGGGAAAACCCCCCCCCAACAACTCAGTTGGAAGCCCAAGGTTCATTCCAGTCCTGCCTCCAGCCTACAGGAGCTGTGTGATCTTGGGCAACCAAGTCCTGGGCAGCGCCGGAAATTGCAGAGGAGGTATCACTACCCTCTGACAGAGGAAATTTGTTCATTTGGCATTCCCTATACTAATAAAATCACAAGACTAATTTCATCCTATCATTGAACACAAGTATTGGACCTGTGATTCTCCAACAGCGAAAGTCCCTCTACCAATGTAGACTACTGGCAGTTTCTTTGCAATTTATAGTTTTAGCTTTCTGCCTAGGGCACTCAGAGGTTAAATGACTTACCCAGGGTCACATAGCAACTTTGAGTCAGAGGCATGATCTGAATCCAGGTCTTCCTGACTGCAATGTCAGCTGTTGATCCACTATGTGACACTGTCTTTAATATAGAACGTCCTTATTTTCAAATTGTCCACCTATACAATGGGGAAAATATGGTAATATTTATAGACACATATGAAACTGGGTCACACAGGTGCATTCAAAAGGCATTAGTCAACTAGAATCTCTTCCCTCTCTTTGGTCTCTCTTCTTTCTGCCTAGCCACATTTTAGCAACTAAAGAGAAACAATGGTAAAAGGGAAGAGGCCTTGGGGCCTCATTTGAGATCAATAGGTGACCAGTGAATGTGGACCTTGATTCTTTGCCCTAGCATTTTCATTTTAGTTGAAGATTGAAAGCTATGACTTTGTAAATTTTGAAAGGGTAAGTGAATGAGTCATTAGAAGGTATGGGAGTAGAGTCTTTGCTGTTGTTTACAGTGAGCTGGCTCGGCTTTGAGGCCCAAGGAATGAGGAGCAACCTTTGGGACCCAGCCCAGTGTTGTTTGAGACAAAGGATTTTGTGGCAGCAACACTGCATTTGGACTGAATTTGATGGGACCGAAGTTAAGTAGAAGCTGCATTAAATCTGAGCTCACTCTCTTCAGGGACCAAGGGGAGGGTGTGGCGCCCAAGTACTGTGGGAGAGATGTTGGTATTTCTATATCTTTGAAGTAAATATCCTTTTGTAAAAGCTTATTGATGTTAATTGATTAAATAGAACTAGGGTATCCTCTCTCACCAGAATGGGAGCTCAATCTGATAGCTTTAGAGAAAAGATCCCCCAACCCCTCAGGGGTACCCCTTAGAACTCTGAGGGGGATGATATAGCCTTTCTCACTCTTATAGTGAGGTCAGATAGATGACTGCCCTGGTTACAATGCAAACTACTTCAAGAGAAACATGTTTCTGAATTGGTGAGAGTATTAAAAAGTGTTTCTCAACTTCCATATTCTTGAAATAGTTTCTAGAGATGAACTCGAAATCATGAATAGTGAATAAAACAGAATAAACCATATTGAGGAAAACAAGTTCAGCTGTTGGTGTGACAACACTTACCCTAGCTAAATTCTTATCTCGTTAGGTCACAACTGGTCATAACATAACAGCTTGGTTAGAGATTTAATGATATGTTTGGGAGTAAATTCCTGAGGAGAAGTGACATGAAAATGGATCATAATCAATTCCTACAAAATTAAGAAAAAAATTCCTATAGAAAGTATTGCATATAGTGTCACCTGTCTATAAATGTGAATTATTTAAAATAATCTGAATAAGGCACACAAATGAAATCTAAACACTTTGAGTTCTGGCCAGTACAATTCTAGGGTAAGTTTCCTCATTTTGTAATTTTGCTTTTATCAGTTAATCTAACAGTTCTCTTGTTAGTGATTCTTACCCAATAATCTTATGTGCGCTGAGAATTTTATTTTTTAAGTGTTATTTATTTAGATCCTCACTGAGAGATATTTCTTCTTTACCACATTTTAAAAAACTAACTTTGTATTACAATGTATCATAGTCCAACATTATACAGGTTGAAGCAGATTCCTCTGATTTTAGCAATCAGAATCACATTTCTGATAAAACAATTCATTCTCCCCCCAAAAGCCCAATACTGATTCATCTCAATAGCTCAATCTTTTACTCACTGAGGCAACATTTATTTAACCTTAATATAATAAACATTTATCTGCCTATTTTATGTAGAACATTGTGTTAGGCACTGGGAATTGAATATAAAGTTGAATCAGGTACAGTTCCTTTCCTTATAAGGTTTATTATCTGTCAAGGGGATAGAGTTCTGTAGTCTGTTTCCTCCCACCCCCAATCAAACACGGCCTCTCTGAAAGCTATCCCTGCTTCAAGGTATGCTTTGGACCTACATCTATTCAAAACTGCTTATGATTTCTTTCTGATATTCCCCATTTATAAGACCAACAGAAGGAAAAATTAGGTCACAGCAAAAGACATTTAGTTAAATAACACAGCAAGGTAAGGAGCAAGGAAAATCCTCCCCATATGGCCCATATGCACAACGGTATTTTTGCCTACAAATTTCCATACCACTGGTGATAAAGTGAATACGGGGAATAAATAGCAAGCAACTAGTCAGTTAAAAAACATTTATTAAGCACCTACTATGTGCCAGGTACATAATGTGTCTAAGAAACATGTGTGGGAGAGGACTCACATGTAGGGAACATTTATAACCAGGGCAATTCACCTTCCTATGGTTGCATCCCAGATGAAAGTCTTCTCTGCCTTTTATGATTCTGTCATTCATTCCTTTCTCTGCATTACCGCCAGTTGCTGGTGTCCTCTAATGGATTATTTCCTTTGCTGTATTGTCACCTATTGGTCCTCCAAGGCATTGATTGGTGTTTGCTACTTCTCTACTGAGCTACTCTCACTAGCTCTCCATCAAGCTGTTCTCAGCATTTATCTTTTGTTTCTCCACTAAATTGAGGTTGTTATGTCAGTTGTTTTCCATAGAAGAGGGACTATTTCAACTCTTGTGTAAGTTAGACCCACAGCTGTACCCAGCCCTACAGCAGTCCATTATCTAATGTGGTATAAGCACATTCCTTTTAACTTCCATTATGCCTCTTGTTGCTAGCCTTGGTCTATCAAAATCACCCTGGGAACTTGACTTAACAATATTGTAAGGGTGCCTCTCTTCATGAACCAAAATTGATCCTCTGTCTACATTTCAATAGTTCAAGAATTTGTGTTTTTTTTTTTGGTACGAATACCAAATCATACTTCAACCCCTCTATGATAATGGTAGATTTTAAGAGTTACTAATGACAGAAAAATTAATCATCAGGCCAACTTGGTGATGCTCCTATATGAATTTAAAAGTTTTGTTCTCAGATAACAGACATACAGACTTACATTTAAACCTTTTCAGCTTAATAGGACCTACCAGAACTTATTCTCTGCTGGCTTAGTGTGAAGAACTCTGGGTCACCTCATTACCACAATCAGGCAATGATGTAGAACTTCAATGCATAATGGAGATAAAACACACGTACAAATAGCTACAATGGAATACAAGTGCATGAGAGGAAGACAAACAAAATATTATAAGAGAATGTTTCCAGAGGCAACAAACAAAATACTTTTTAAAAAAAATTAATTAATTTATTTTTAGTTTTCAACATTCACTTCCATAAGATTTTGAGTTCTAAATGTTCTCCTCCTCTCTTCTCTCCCCCCTCCCCTAGATGGTGTGCAATTTGATATAGGCTCTACATATACATTCATATTAGACATTTTTACATTATTCATGTTGTAAAGAAGAATTGGGACCAGTGGGAAGAACCAAGTGAAAGAAGAAACAAAATTACAATAAAAAAAGAGCAAATAGTATGCTTTGATCTGCATTCAGACTCCATAGTTCTTTTTCTGGATGTGGATAGGATTTTCCATCCTGAGTCTCTTGGAGTTGTCTTAGATCCTTCAAGCAAAATGCTTTACTTGACTTCAAAGCAAGGATGAGTGTAAGGGAGTATGGTGATAAATATATTGGAAAATATGGCTCAAGGGTAAAAACAAGAGAGGGCAAGAGAGGACTATACAGAATCTATATGCCTATAGTACAATATCGTGAATACTTAGAGCAAAGAGTCCAGAAGTTCTGGAAGTGAGAAACACCAAATAACGTTAACAAAAAATTGACTATGTTTAAACAGTAAACAATTCATTACTGAGGTGGGAGTCATTCCTAAATCAGCTTCGGTATACAGTCAGACTAATGACTTAATAGAACAAAGATCACAATTTATACAAAACTAGAAAAAATACAAAAGTGGAAAAAGATATAGCATGCAATTAACACAAGTACAATCCAGAAAACTGGGAATATCAATTGATATAAAAATTTGCTTAGTCCTTGGAAGTATTCTTAGATTTCATTCCTTCTAATGTTAACAAGCTATTGACAATGAAAAAATTAAAAATGAGTAAAGGAATGGACATTAACATGGATTATAATGGTTTCCTAAAGAAATTTTAACAGGTATAAATAAATGGCTATAACAGGAAAATATAAAGAGTTTAGGGCTATGGAAAGAGACACACTTATATACTATGGAGCTGGGAACTGTTCTAACCATGCTGAAAAAAATTTTTTGGAATAGGGTGAGAAAAATCCCTGAACTGTTCAAAATTTGACTCAGTGATCCCACTACTGGGCAAGGATAGAAAAAGAAGTTCCATCCATACCAAAATATTGCTAGTCATATTATTTGTTGTAGCAAAAAATTGGAAACAAGGTAGTTATTCATCAATTAGGAACGGCTTAACATATTGTGGTATAGAGCTGAAATGGAAGATTGATTTCACCACAAGAAATGTAATAAAGAGAAACAGGGGGAGATTTACATGAAATGACGCAGAGTAAAGAAAAAAGACTCCAGAGAACAATGTATACAAAGATTTCAATGATGTAACTGAAAATAATATGAAAAAGCAGCTGAACTTATAATAATCATAATAAAAAACCATGCTTCTAGAGAAGGAAGAGAGGGGAATAAGCATTTATTAAGTGCCCATTATGTGCCAGGCACTTTATAAGCATTATTTCACTTGATCCTCACAACAACCCTGGGAAGTAAGTGCTATTATTATTCCCATTTTACAATATTTTTGAATAACATTTATTTTTTTCCCAATTACATATATGAAATTTTTAAATGTTTGTTTTTTAAAATTTTGAGTTCTAAATTCTCTCTCTCCTTCTTAACCTCCCTGAGATGGTAAGCAGTTTGATACAGATTATGCATCTCATTTTATAATTAAGGAAATTGAGGCAAACAGGTTAAGTGACTTGCTCAGGGTCACACAATTACTACAGGGGCTGAGGATGGGTTTGAATTCAGGTCTTCCTAATTATAGGCCTAGTGCTCTATCCACTGCTGCCTTCAGCTGGAAAACACAGAATAAAGCACACACCCTTCCTTTCAATAGAGAGATGTAAAGCTTCAGATACACAATGTTGCACATGCGGTCGGGCCAGGCTGCTTTGCTGTTCGGGTTTTCTGAATTGTTTATATTTGTTATAAAGGAAGATTCAGTGGAGGCTGGGGTTATGAGAATGATGGTGGTGCCCAAAAATCATCAGTGAAAAAAAAAAGATGTCAGGATTTCTGTAAGAAATTTTTTCCCTCAAATGCTCTAAAGCACTATTGATTAGAGAAATGCAAATCAAAACAACTCTGAGGAACCACATCATATCTATCAGATTTGCCAACATGACAAAACAGGAAAATGATAAATGTTGGAGAAGATGTGGGAAAATTAGAACACTAAAGCATTGTTGATGGAGTTGTGAACTGATCTAACCATTTTGGAGAGCAATTTAGAACTATGGCCCAAAGGGCTATAAAAATGTGCATACCCTTTGACCTAGCAATAGCACCTCTAGGGCTGCATCCCAAAGAGATCATACAAGTGGGAAAAGGACCCACATGTACAAAAATATTTATAGCAGCTCTTTCTGTGGTAGCCAAGAATTGGAAATTGAGGGAATGCCCATCAATTGGGGAATGGCTGAACAAGCTGTGGTATATGAATGTAATGGAATACTATTTTGCTATAAGAAATGATAAGCAGGCTGACTTCAGAAAAACCTGGGAAGACTTATATGGTCTGATGCTGACTGAAGTGAGCAGAACCAGGAGAACATTATACATGGTAACAGCTACGTTGTATGATGACTAACATTGATAGACCTGACCCTTCTCAGCAGTGCAAGAGTCTAAGACATCTCCAAAAGTCTAATGATGGAAAATGCTACCCACATCCAAAGAAAGAACTATGGAATTTGAATGCAGATCAAAGTATACTATTTGCTCTTTTTTTTCCCCTTCTGTTGTATTTTGTTTCCTCTTTCTTAGGGTTCCTTCTATTGGTTCTAATTCTTTTTTTATTTTATTTTATTTTTATTGATTTATTTTGATTTATCAACAATCACTTCCATAAACTTTTGAGTCTAATTCTTCCTTACAACATGACTAGTGTGAAAATATGTTGAATAGGAATAAATATGTACAGCCTATATCGGATTGTACGCTGTCTTGGGGAGGGAGGTGGGAAGGAAGGGGGAGAAAAATTTAAAATTCAAAAACTTATGGAAATGATTGTTGATAAATCAAAATAAATTAATAAAAAATTTTTACAAAAGAACAACCATTTTCAGATTCTAATGTTATAGTCTCCAATGTGCTTCATGAAGAAACGGAGCTCAAGACATTAAAGAAGGGGATCAAAAATTAATTAACATTCATTAAATACCCACTATGTGCCAGGCACTGTGCTAGTTAGTCTCTGAGGAAACAAAGACAAAAAAAAAAACCAAACCAGTTTCTGCCCTTAAGAAAACATATGTACATACATATAGCCTATATCAGATTGCCTGCAGTCTTGGGGAGGGAGATAGGGAGGGAGGGGGAGAAAAATTTAAAACTCAAAAGCTTGTGGAAGTGATTGTTGATAACTCAAAATAAATAATTTTTTTAAAAAAAGAAACATATATACTACTGGAGAAAAGAATAGGTACCCATATAAATAGATCTGTAGACACTGCAAATGAACAGTGAATTGGTCCTAGTATTGAACAGAAGGAAAAGAGCAGGTAGGATTGTCTTTGGAAAATTTAGAGTGCTTTTATGCATCCCTCAACTTCTTCTTGAAACAAAGGCCCATCTTTTTAATACCAATATTCTTCCATCAAGCTTGGGGATGTAATTCTGTGGCAGTGTGCATGCTTTGCTTACGTGAGGCCACAGGTCTGATCTCCAGCATCTTCACTAGTTTTGGTGGGCAGCTAGGTGGTGCGCTGGATAGGGCACCAAGCCTAGAGTCAAGAAGATCTGAGTTCAAATCCAGTCTCAGACATTTACTAGTTATGTGACCCTGCATAAGTCACTTAACCCCTTTTTGCCTCAGTTCCTCATTTGTAAAATGGAGACACACTGGAAAAGGAAATGGCAAACCACTCTAGTATCTTTGCTAAGAAAACCCTATGGACAATGTCCATGGGGTCACATACAGTTGGAAATGATTGAATGGATGAATTTTTCCACCAATGTCATATGGCTGTGAGTTATGGAAAAACAGTATCTGATGAGCTAAATTTGATGATTACTTAAAGATCAAAGGAGAAGCATACAATAAGCATAAGCAGGCTGCAGTGTAATGAGTAATTGTACAATTAGCCTGTCCATTGGTATACACACAGCCAAGAAAGTAAGTCCCCATCACAATGGGTAGACCTCCTGAATTGGCATCATGGAAGGAGATGGATAAGTTACACAGGATGAGTAGGCATGAATGTGTTGCTACTGGAGGGAGTACTACATATGTAGTAAGATTAAGGCAGAGTATAGAAGGATCACCACCTTCTTACTCCTAGAAGTTATGTATCTCTTAATTCACGTTGATAAGATCACAGATTTATCTAAGGAGAATATCTTAATTTGGGACCCATACATACTCAAATATGGATAGATTTCAGGGGATCCATAAATTTGGTTTGGGGAACAAATACATTTTTATTTTCTCTAAAAATCTGGGCTGGACCTGACTCAGGCCATTCCCCTCACAGTTGAGGTTTGATATTGGAACACAATGACACAATTGTAGCTCATTCAACAGTCAACAAAAGGAGATTTACTTAGCCATATAAGGAGAAGGATATTCAACAAGAATAGTCATTGAGGACATTTCCAGTTGATTCAGGTTAAGAGAAGCCCCCTTGCCTGAGCTGCCTATCCTGACCCACCAGCAAAACATCAGAGACTACTCTTGGCTCCTTGAAGCTATTCTATACTCAGGTGATCAGGAAGTGATGTCAGAACCTTCACACTTTGGTTCCCTGAAGTCTATCAGGAATTGAGGATAGTCTCAATACCTTTTAAGGAAAAAACAGCCCATCTAACAAGGAGGCAAGGGTTAGGTCCTAACCGGTAGGACACTGTCCCTACCACATGTTGGAGTAATCTCTTGACCTCTTGAGGGAGGCATAGCTATCAGCAAG